TGATAAATATATTGTTGTCAACACATTTAAATATTAAAATTTTTTGTGTAGATACGTTAAATTGTTTAATATCATATTAAATTCCAAACACACAGACACACACACTCATAAAATACAATAATATACTATATGATAATGAAGTTGACGAATTATTTAAAACCTACCCCGTCTTACGATCCTAAACCTCTCTTACACATAATTCAAAAACACTAATGACTAATGAGGTTTACTGCTCACAAACCAGTACGTATTTTGATACCGGATATTAACGTTGTAATTAATTAGCCGGATTTGTATCTAAACAAAGTAACACATGTATGCATGTATGTAACACCCAAGCAACAAATCACCAAGAAATCGAATCATAACATATTCGTTTCCATTAGTTCAAGAGCAGATAAATGTTCAAGCGATGATAGTGTATTAAATTTAAGTCTCATTTAGTGTTAGTAGGGATATTGAAGGACCTTTCGATACACGTTTTTTATGCCAAATAATTAATATTAAGCTCACCAATATCGCCATAAAGTTTGAATAAAACAAAACGCTATAGTATGAACATTAACATGGACATTAAAGAATAAATAATGTCCTTAAGCATCAGACTCATTCTACCTTTCTAATTTATGAAGCTAATCCGTTCATCATCCACGTCGATGTAGAATCTTAGAATGTCCAACTATCAAACAATTTCTATCGACTTTATACGTATATTCGTGACAAACCTTTATCCATTACAATTTACAATTCAAATTATTCTTGAAATAACCCAAGGTTATCCATTTGGCTAAATCATTGAAAGAGAGTTCAATATTGCAACATCGTGCGATCACTTTTAGTCGTGTCTAGAGTGTCCTTGATAACTATAATTCATCAAGCAATGCACAATTTCTCACCAAATAAATATTCGCATGGTATCAAAAACACCTCTGGCTGATAATCAGATGACTTTGACATCTACCTTTGATTTTTTAGATTGTGTGTTAACGAACCTATGGTTACATTTACTGCCCGTGACCAAAAGTTCACACCAAAAATATAATCGAGTTCGTTAGAATATCTTTTAAAGTCGAGAATATCATCTATTCATCTAGTACAGCCAAATACCATATATGTAAATATTTACCATTGCATTTGCAATCCAGGCAGTTGATGTCATAACAAATATCTGACACAAGCTGTTTCTTTCAATTGATTCATGGAGTCGCAGTTGGAATCTTCTTTCCAACCTTGAAAATACAATGTGATATTTATATGGTAATTTTCTCATTATGCATACACATATACATAAACTTATTTCATAAAAACAACAATTCTAACTGACTGACTGTTCTAGGTCATTTGCCTTTAATTGTCTAAATAGGTTTAAATATATTAACATACAAAATAGTACACAAAGTAATTCTATAACAATTAAAAGCTATTTATGTTTAAGATATTGGTGTAAACAATACTGTACAATATAATATGTTCAGATATGTTTTGAAAACCAGGCACGGAGAGGTCAATACATTGGTACACCATTGCCAATAATATACCAATAATATTACCATTAATACATGTATACCATTGTCAATAATATACCCAATAATATGTACCATTACTGATCTTTAATTTTGTTTATTTAATGACACAGCAAAATACCTGTATGCTCTTATTGTAGGCAATCCTCCGAGTGTTTCTGTGAAATGCTCCAATACTGGTGATTTGGATATACAATCCAATCTTTGTAAGTCTCTGTAACACAACATACTTTCTATTTTGATAAAAAAAGTACTACGAAGTGATTGTATTATAATAATAAATTTATATGCATTCTGGTACCTTACTATCAACATACCTAGCTATTCCCAGGTAATACTTCTTGATCAAATACGAAACTACGACAAATGGAATCAGGGTAATGGAAAACAACGGATTGACAATTGTATTCACAATAACTGATGTCAGGATTTGAATAATGGCAAACACAATACCATCAATAGAACTCCAGATTCTCTGCAAAAGAAACACAATTGTATGTAATAAAGACAATTTATGTTGTAAATACGAGAATAAATTTGCAGTGCTATGGAAGTAAAAATTCTCACCAAGTCTGCGACCATTGTATCATTGGCAAAGCGATTTAGAATACGACCAGTGGGCGTAGTATCAAAGAATCTCATTGGGGCATGGATTATCTGGTATAACATTCTTATATGTAATCTTCCTGCAGCAGATATGAATGATTTTATTTGACAATAAGATGCAACAAGGAGGAAACCACAACAAAAAAACACAACAAGGCGTAAATAGACAGGTAGAAGCTTGATGTATTTTCTGTGTCAACCTGCATAAAAAAGATAATTTTACACGTAAAACAAATAGACTGGTGAACAGAGGTATCAATGAGCTGTCAAATTAACACCAACAGTTCGAAATTTGCATTTGTCTAATTCCACATCTTACTAACATATTTTTCTCTAAGCTGTCATCAGAAATGCGAGTTTAGGTATTATAATATTATCTGAATGTTTTGTATTTGTAATAAAAATATTAATACTACTACTACGAATTATATTGATCGTGCAGGTGTCGACCCTGACTGCGGTCAGAATTACCTGTGACAGTATGTTGTTTTGTTCAGCTTGAGCCCACTTGGAAAGCCACAAATAATTAACGACATATGCACCAGTACATATAATTAATAACAGAAGTGTGAGGAGCACCATCGGTATTGTTAAAAAGTTGGCATATTCGTATAAAGTACTCCACGATATAGGTCCCTGCTGTTGCTCTTCCTCAACAACCAATGAAGCTAAATGCAAAGAAATAACATGTGTCATAACGATTGCACCAAGTTTGTTCTACGTTGTGATGATTAAATCGCATGAAAACATCAGTTACGATGTCAGCTATATGTATATTCTATAACATACTTTCTAGTAATTATTGTAACAAACGTCCCACCAATATTTTAGGAAGTAATTGATGCAACATACCATTGTTGCTCGTTTATCTGTTGTTGAGTTGTCTGAATAACCCATAGGAGATGTAATATTGCGACTGGTGCCTTCATCACTATTATTATCATCGAACATGTTTTTCAAATGTTCGAAAAGCTCAGGGAAATTCTTTTGTATGTGGGACACACTACCTTGATGAGATATTTGACCATTTTCCATCACCACAACCTATTTAAATGAACGAGATATGAGGACAAAATTATAACATTTACGTTAATTACATGTGATATTGCACTATCATGTTTTATTATCCATTGTTAATTCAGTTGCTAGATAACTGTACTTTTGCTGAAAAAAATTTCTTCTTTATATATATTAATGCAATATATATATATAGATGCAATACTTGTCAATCGTCTGCCGACTTTATTGTTACGCTATACGTGAAATTTAGGTCACCTGGGTCCCATGATAGTTGAAATCAAGTTATTCTTTGTAGGACATACTAGTTACCCCATCTAGTTACCTTATTTGCATATTCAATATATTTATAATGGTGAGTAGCTAATATTACTGTACGGCGATCACCCAGAAGGAAATTCAGAATTGCTTCTTTCATTACATAATCACCAACATGTACATCTAACGCTGATAAAGGGTCGTCCTAAAAATAAAGTGCATGGTATAAATTAACACCTGTCACAAATCAAATATAGTGCCTACATCGATATAAATATTACAACTGTTCAAAATAATACTGAACAAGATTATTTACTAACCAAAATAACGACATCCGTTTTAGCGTACAGTGCTCTTGCTAAACTTATACGTTGCTTTTGTCCCCCGCTCAAATTAATCCCTCTGGCACCAATCTCTGTCATATCGCCACCAGGAAGAATCTGTATATCCTGTTTCAATGCACATGCTTCTAATACTGCATTGTATCTAAAATTAATCATATGAAGGATAATGTCGCATACGACTTATTTACCACTTCCGTGTCACTGAGAATGTTTATATGAAGGATGGGGATAGCATATCATATAATAATTATCTTTATTATTATTGTTGTTGCACGATGTAAACTTTATAAAATTAATAATCCGTTATTATGATAATATTTACCTGACTTGATCAAAGTCCTTCCAAAATATAATATTATCACGTAGTGTAGCATTCAGAAGCCAGGCCGTTTGGCTCGCATAGGATATTTTAGCGTTGTCTCTGTGAATACAATTTGCACAGGTTTAATTATATATTTGCAACTGTAGCGAATCTACGATTCTAATTTTCACACGATTGAATAATTTGCGAATTGCAGATACATTATATCACCAAGTGCTTATGTGTTTTTGTTTTGATAATGACACAGAATACAGTTAGTTTGAGTTGGTTGGTTTGTATGTGAGCTGGATACTCAAAACAATGATGAGCGATAATTTATTATAATTTTATCAGGAGTTGCCCGGGAGGCAAGATTAGGAAATAAGAACTTAATGAAAAATTCTTGGAAACAAAGATAACACTAGATAAGTTCTTGGAAGATATCTGGATCTTGTTGTCATGAAAACATACATTTTTTTAAACATTAATATTCTTCATTGTCAGATAATTAATGGACGAATTTAGGATTCGGTCTGAAAAACAACAATTCTTGTTAGAATTCTTTATTATTGCCAGAGTGTCATTGCCTTATTGGTTAGCAGGATACACTATTCAAGATTAAATTTGATCTTTTTTTGTCATACAAACGTAATAATACATGCACAAGTAAAGATAAATGTGGTGTGTTGTACTTTCAGAATGCCTACTTGGCTCAACTTGGCTTGATAATTGGCCTATATTAATTTTCTCTAGTGAAAAATTATCGCCTCAAAATCCA